TGGTAAGGGCCAAAATAACGGGCCACCAACTTCTGTGAAGCACGCCGGAACAAGGAATGCTGTCGGTACGGCTGAAGGGGAAGTAGAACACAATCATTAACGGCAAACTCCACCGCGCGGCGCCGTTTATCCGCCAACTATTTGTTGTAGTCATTAGCCATCGCCAGGGTGGTCTTGAGTTGCTGGAGAATCGTGTCACGCTCCACCAGAAGCTGATCCACAACGCCGACCCCACTACTGCCATGTGCATAGGGAATAATACTCGGTGGGTCACGGCCATAAAGGGCCTTAAAGGGGGTCATCCCGATCGACCTGTGATAGAACGTATTATACCAAAGTTCTGCCCAGGGCAAGAACATACCCCAACGCCGCGGCTGAGAGTGAGCAAAACAGCGGAGATACTGCTCCACACAGCGGTTGACCACCTCCGTTTGACGATCGGATTGAGGATGATAAGCCGAGCTCATATTAATGCGAGTACCTGTCCGGGAAAAGAATTCCTTCCAAAATTTGCTCACAAAAATGGCGTCCTGATCACAGACAATGGACGCTGGTATCCCATAGTGACGCACCACCCCATGGATGAATTCTTCCACCACACTGCGAGCCGAATAGGGGTGACTAAGGGTCAAAAAATGTGCGTACTTGGTCAACCTGTCCACCACCACGAAGAGCACGGAACGCCCACCTGAAATGGGTAAGCCCTCTACAAAATCCATCGAAATATCTTCCCATACCTGGCATGGAATGGGTAACGGCTGCAGCAGCCCGGCTGGAGATAGTGTCTCCGTCTTGACACGTTGGCAAGTGTCACAGGAGGCTACATAATCTCTCACGGCCTTGCCCATTTGGGGCCAATAGAAATGGCGCGCAACCCGCGCTAAGGTTCGCTGAGATCCGGAGTGGCCTCCCTGAGGCGAATCATGAAATTCTTGCAGCACGGTGGTGACGAGGCCCGAGAGTGGGGGAAGCACTACGCGATCGCGGTAATACACCAAGCCAGCCCGGAACGTATAATGGCCGGGGTTCTCGGATAATGCCTTGGTTTTGACTGCCTGGAGATAGGGATTGGAGTGAACCGCGACGCGTAATTCCTCCCACACCGTTGCAATCGGACTAGTCATGGCGTGCAGCTGTTCGCCCTCGCCCATCCGGGATAGCGCATCGGCTGCCCGGTTACTCGTCCCCGTCCTGTAATGCAGCTCATAATCAAAACCCATTAGCTTACTCACCCATTTGTGTTGATCAGGAGTGGCTACTCGTTGATCCAAGAGGTATTTCAGACTGCGCTGATCCGTGTATATATGGAACTTTTGGCCGAGAAGGTAGGGCCTCCACTGCTGAACTGCTTGAGTAATGGCGAACATTTCCTTCTGGTATGTTGACCATGCTTCTTTGGCCTGCCCCAACGTTTTGCTCATATAGGCAATAGGGTGACCCTGCTGAGATAACACCGCGCCAACCCCCTTGCCCGATGCGTCGGCCTCGATTATAAAAGGAAGGTCAAAATTCGGCATAGCCAACGTCGGGGTGGAAACGAGGCTTCCTTCAAGGCCAAGAAGGCTTGATCCGCCTCCGAGGACCATTTGAAACAGCCTTTCCGTAAGAGATCAGTGAGTGGCCTCGCTATCTCCCCGTAGTTCTTAACGAACTTACGATAATAACCTGTCAAGCCAAGGAAGCCGCGAAGTGCAGTCACGGTCTTCGGAACTGGCCACTCCGTCATTGCCTGAACTTTGTCGAAGATGAGATGTCCCAAATACTCGAGCACCTGCAGTCCAAATGCACATTTGGAGAATTTAACATAATAATGATGCTGCTGTAGGAGGGCGAGAGTCGCCCTGACATGCTCCAAATGCGCGTCCCATGTCCTGCTATAGATCAGAATGTCGTAAAAAAAAAACCAACACATATTTGCGCAAAACTGGCCTAAAAAGATCATTCATTGCTGCTTGAAAGGTGGAGGGTGCATTGCAGAGTCCAAAGGGCATCACTAGGTACTCGTAGTGCCCGTTATGCGTTCGAAATGCTGTTTTATGCACATCAGCCTCGTCCATTCGAATCTGGTGGTAGCCTGCGCGCAAATCCAGTCGAGTGAAGTATTTTGCTCCATAGAGCTCATCGAGCATATCATCTACTGTGGGTATCGGGTAGCGATCGCGTATGGTAGCCGAGTTTAAGGCCCGGTAGTCCGTACAAAACCTCCACGTGCCGTCTTTCTTCTTGACGAGCAAGACTGGGGATGAAAAAGGGCTCGAACTGGGCCGAATGAGCCCTGCCGCCAACATCTCCTGTACTAGGCGCTCGATTTAAGCTTTTTGATGGTGCGCGTACCGATACGGCCGGACATTCACGGCGGCAGCTCCTTCTTTCAACGGGATGCGATGATCAACCTCTCGCTTGGGCGGTAATTCGTTGGGAGTCTCAAAGACCGAGCCATACTCGGCAATAAGCTCGCTCATGCCAGGAACTAGCGGCGATAATTCGTCGGGATGGAGAGGGAAGAGTAGTGCCCATGCCGTCCCTTCTTCGGCGCGAATTTCATCGAACGAGACTTGCTTGAGGCCCGCTGCGATGCCTTGGAGGCAATAATCCTTGTCACGCCACTTGAATTTCATGCACAAGGTCTTCCAATCACAAGTGACGGGTCCCAATTCTTCTAACCATTGAACCCCCAGCACCATATCCAAGCCGTGAATCGGGAGGATAAACAATGATACCGTAATCGTCGAACCTCGCATATGGAGAGTGACGTTGTCGCACTTGCTGCGGCAGATCAAGGGTTCGCCGTTGGCCACTTTCACGACGAATGGTGCGATCGGCTCGACGTGCAGCCGCATCTCTTCTGCCTTCTTCTCTGTCACGAAATTGTGGGTCGAGCCACTGTCGACCAACACAACTGCATCCACTCCAGCGACCTGAGCCTGGAACCTTAGGATTTTTGGTCCCGAGAGCCCAGTCACGGCGGCGAGAGATATCTCGGCCGAGTTGATTGCCTGATGGTCGTTGGCGTCGACGTCGGCGTCGTCGTCGTCGCTCCTCTGCCCACCGTCTCCGGCGGCGCATTCGGTCAGGGGCATAAACCCCGCTAGCAGTTGCTCCAAAGCCCCCATCCGTTCACCCAGCGCAGCACGTGGTGGAATCGAAAGACATGCTCTGATACCAATTGATAGCAACCTGTTGCTATCGGTTAGGGTTTGCTTGTAACTCACAAGCGAGAGTACGACGTAAAGTGTCGAAAGACTGTTTTTAGGTTTATTATTCATTCCTTTCATAATCATAACGAGTGTTTAAATAGGAACTTACAATCCGAGCATAATCAGGAAAACCAAAGAACCTACTAACTACGAAAGGTAACGTGGGTTGGGCTTAATAACCCGTCTTGATGCCCGCGATTGCATGGGCTACATGGGCGGCCGGTCCACGTCCTTCGAGCTGCTACCACCAACGCGGTCAAGCATTTCATCAAACATCTGTTGTACGGATTCAAAGACAGTTCCATACGGGCAGGGGCGGATACATGAGAGTTTAGGGGTGTCCAAGCTAGGATTAGTTATGCTAGTCCCACAGCAATCAGTAGCAGCCTAGCAGGGGAATGAATATGGAACACCAACGCGGTCAAGCATTTCATCAAACATGTGTTGTACGGATTCAAAGACAAAGTTCCATACGGGCAGGGGCGGATACATGAGGGTTTAGGGGTGTCCCGGGACACCCCTAAAATTTGGGAATACGATTATTCAACCTCTGGTAATAATTTTGTATGGATAAAAAAATTATAATTAGTGATTCGGGACACCCCTACAACGATAATCCTATCCCCAGTAGTAGTTTGCGTATACTTAAAAAAAATAAGCGATAATCTGTGTTATTCAAACTTAGGATATACTATATTTTTTAAACATTGTCCTCTATTAAGTTGCAACTCATTTGTTGTTCTATTGTCTAGTAGGATATACAGATTTGTTGAGCAATCTACCAAGCCTATTTGTTATTCTTTTTCAGAAGGGTTATAGGTATAATATGCCCCTCTACTATGACGTTTTATCAAACATGCCCCTCAACTATTTTTTACATCAAACATGCCCCTGTACTTTGTAAAAATGATCAAACATGCCCTTTTGTTAAAATTTTCATCCAAAAACCGTTAGCCAAGGCCGAACTTTAGTTTGGATGACACAAATGACTAAAATATCCCTAATAAATTCACTTTAGATTTTTTTTGGTTCTTTTGTATAATCAAATCATTCAAATAATTTCACTTTGAAAAGACCCAGGGAAATAAAACAGGGGATAAAACTGACATTTTCCCTCTCATTTGCCGATGTCGGGTCGTCTAAATCTCAATTCAACCATGATTGACGATTTTTCAATGGAAATTTTAACAGAAGGGCCTGTTTGATAATTTTTTCAAAGTACAGGAGCATATTTGATGTAAAAAATAGTAGAGGGGCATGTTTGATAAAACGTCATAGTTGAGGGGCATATTATACCTATAACCCTTTTCAGAATATAAAAACACATCGTGGTCTTATGTTAAAATTTGTACTCATCCGATATTTTTTTATTTATGAATTATTTATTTTAATTTTTTGTTAAGAGGACACCCTCTTAAAAATTTCTAGATCCTGCATTGCATACGGGTAACCAGTTGCATGGACCAGCGGCAGCGAATAAGAAGAATAATGGAGGTAGAAGAAGAATTATTGGTTGCAGAATTCACCGTCATCGGTTGCGGGCTTCATTTTTACTTTCTGGGGAGTGGAGATTGGAGGAGAAGCAGCAATGGCGCAACCGTTCCCGGCGACTGGGAAAAGAAAGAGTTTCCGAAACGTAGTCCACGATTGTATAATAGTTGAAAACGACGCCGTTCGTCTTTCAGTTACCTTGTTGCCCGGCGGGCCCATCTCAACAACTTTGGTATAATTTTAGCATTGTTTTATTTTATTTTATTTTATTTTAGAATAGCCTATGCTCAATGCTGTGTCTGCCTGTCTTTATTTCTCTCCAATTTATCTTCTTCTCTTCCTCCTCCTTCCTTCCTTCCTTCCTAATCGCCCATCCCTCACTGAATCCTTCGTTAAACCCTACACATCTCATAGAGTAGAGGCCCTCTTACAATACAAATCTGTATATCTCCGGAGGGATTCAAGTAGCTTCGCGCCCGCGGCGATAATGAATCCATTATCCGTCACTCCATCTTCTTCTTCTTCTTCCTCCTCTACGCCGGCGCTGTTATCTCCTTTCATCAACCAGTCGCCTCTCCGTCTCACTCCCTCGTCTCTCTCCCTCCCTTCCCGCCGGCGTGTGAGAGTATCCTTCCCTCGCAACTCAGCCGATCCATCGCCGTCTGATGACTCGGCTGCTTCCGCTACACCGTCCACCACCACCACCAGTGTTTTCGGAGAGAGGAAGGAGTTGACCGGGATTCAGCCCTTGGTCGATAGCCTTTCTCCCCCGCTCAGGTTAGCGAGTTCCACTGTAATACTGGCCGGAGCTGTGGCTGCCGGTTACGGTTTGGGGCTACGACTCGGCGGAACCCGCAATTTGGCTCTGGGTGGGGCGGCCGTTATGGGCGCTGCCGGTGGGGCCATGGTGTACGCTTTGAATGCTTCCGTTCCTGAGGTTGCAGCCGCTAGTTTGCATAACTATGTTGCTGGTTTCGATGACCCTGGAGCTGTTAAGAAGGAGGAAATTGAACAGATTGCCAAAAAGTTAGTTCCTTCCAGTTGTGCCTTGCAATTTCTTGTTTAGGTATCAGCAAGTTTCTGAATTTTGGTTTTCCAATGTTTAAAATCTCAGATATGGTGTGAGCAAAACAGACCAAGTGTTCAGTGCAGAACTTTCAGAATTATACTGCAGGTGAGTTCATATAGTCTGTTCAGGGCGACATTGTTGTTTTCAAGTCCCAGAGCTCGTTTCACTTTCACCAATGCATTGAACGCTTGCCTCTTCTAGATTTGTTTCCTCTGTTCTACCTCCTGGAAGTGAAGACCTTAAGGGCAATGAAGTTGAAACGATAATCAACTTCAAGAAAGCTTTGGGGATTGACGATCCTGATGCAGCTGCTATGCACATGGAGGTACTGCATCATCACTCCATGATAGAGAAAATGGAAATGTTGAAGATTGTGTTTGTGCATCTTAGGGAAACTTTGGATTAATGTGTCATTATGGTTCTTGGCGTACAGATCGGTAGGCGCATTTTCAGGCAAAGGCTTGAAACTGGCGACCGTGATGGAGACGTTGAGCAACGCCGGGTAAGTCATAAGTCAGTGTTGTACTCTTTATTGTAGCTGAAACATACTTGAGCTTTATCATTTTTTGTCAGATTGATGTTTGGTGCTTGATCATTTTGTACTAATTTCCAGTGCAGGCATTTCAGAAGTTGGTCTATGTTTCATCGCTTGTTTTTGGTGAAGCATCATCCTTCCTTTTACCTTGGAAGAGGGTGTTCAAGGTCACTGATTCACAGGTATTGGCTCATTATTGGTCACTGGTTTAAGCCTTCTTTGCATTTTGCATATATAGTTAATGCCCGAATGTCATTGTCATATATTTTTTGTTATTTTAATCTGTTTTCTTTGGTGCGTGATTTTTATTTCTTTTATAGTTTCCATGATCTGTTGCAGCGTTGTCACTGTTTAATGCTTTTTCCAGGTTGAAATTTCGATCCGTGATAATGCCCAGAGATTGTATGCTTCCAAGCTAAAATCAGTTGGTAAAGGTAAATGCAACTTTTGTTTCGAGTCTCAACAATTCTTGTTTCATTGCTTCTGTTTCCTCATTTTCATAGCAACTAGTGAGTGAGGTTTGCAAATTTAATATGTTTGTATGTTGTCCAATTATGTATGTCATTTTCGGTTGTCAACTACGATTCAGATATCTACCAATGGGGGGATCAGATATGCAGGTGGAAAAATGTGATGTTTCTTATGGATGTAAGGATAAAGTCCTGCCTGGTCAATCACACACTGAATTAGATGCTCTCCTCAATGAAGCAAATTTTGTGCTTAGCTGCTCTTTATGTTCACTTTGTAGAATGTTCTTTAGCATCTGCTCTTCCCATGTACTTCTACACTTTGCATGGGAAAGTATTATAGATTTAGAGCTTATGTCAATTTCTTACTGGAGTGATAAGCTGTTGGGCTTGTTGTCTCCTGTTGTGCTTGAGGAGGGAACTTGCTTCCTTTTGTTTAAGGAATATGGATGTTAAGGCATCATGCTTATTGAAAAGGAAAGTGAATTAAGGGGCCGTGAATAATTGTTTATCTTGATTTCAGATTGATGAAATGACGTTTGGATTGTTGCTGGCAGTTGTCTTTTGTTAGCAACTGTGTGCTGGTTCCTTATCATCATTTTGGACTTTAAACATTTGTGCAATTTCAGGATTAATATGTTTGTCTTTTCCTATCTTCCTTTTTTCAGATATTGACGTGGAGCAGCTCGTGAGCCTCAGAGAATCACAACTTTCATACCGACTCTCCGACGAGGTACTTTACAGGTTATCTATGTTTGTTCTAATTAGCAAACTTTTGTTCAATCAATGTTATGTTTCATACAGCTCGCAGAGGACTTATTCCGGAACCGTACAAGGAAGCTGATTGAAGGAAACATCTCTGCTGCACTGGATATATTGAAGACTAGAACAAAAGCAGCGTAAGATCAAAATCAACCAACTTAACTGTTAGTACGTTTTAGGTTGACTCCAAAAGTTATGGATTTTCCAATATCTAATAATACTTAATATTTTAACCAACTGAGCTATTACTATCATGATGAAAGTAAACATTAGGTTTCGGCTTCTCCAAATAACAATCAATTTTATTTTGCAGCACAGGATTGAAGCAAGTAGTGGAAGAAATTGATGTGATTCTCGCATTCAATGATGGACTTATTTCTCTGAAAAACCATGCTGATGCCGATCGTTTTGCTCGTGGAGTTGGTCCAGTGTCTGTACTAGGTCTTATCCTTAGTTCAACTCTTTCTTTCAGTGCTTCCAATATACCTATGATGCATAAGCTCAAACATACCATGCTGATTTTGATCAGGTGGTGAGTATGCTAGTGACAGAAAAATGGATGACTTGAAACTTCTGTACAGAGTCTATGTCACAGATGCTTTATCTAGTGGTCGGATGGAAGATAGTAAGGTGAACCTTATTACGAAAGGCTGTCTTTTCCTGTGTCAAGCATGTTTGTATTGTATTGGGGATAGGCATAGTATAACCTCTCGGATGATAAGGTTGTTTCAATAGTATGGTCTATTTACTTATAAATGATTGAAACGCTGTGTTTGATTAGTGAAACTTTATTAGTGATCTGCTAGAATGTTATGCAAAGCAGTGTTATTTTATTTGCATGTGGTTGTGGAAATTTGAGAGTTTTCTGGGCGAGCTATTGAAGAAAGAACTAATTGCATTGCTCTAGGCTCTTTTGGTATACCATTGGTTGCACTTCTGTGCTGAAACCTGCTCCTGGGCTAGTTCGTATAGTCTTCTGTGAAGTTTTTTTTCAAAATTTCCATTGCACATTAGAACATTCTTTTTGTTAACAGAAAAAAGAAAGAATGGTGAAATACAGGATTCCTTAGTCATATTAAAGTTATTAAAATTTTGTTACTTTCTTTTACGGGATTACATTAAGTTAATTATATGGTACTTTGTCATCACTGGTTTCCAAAAAAAATTATTGTGCTCTGCCTGAGGTTCTTATCATACTTGTTGATGCTATTCATGCATACATTATTCGTTTGGTTGTTACACTGGGTCTAAGCTTTATTTTTCTCTGTCACATTGCTTGGGGGTGAACTCTTTCACTTCTGTACTAGCTTCAACATTTACTTAAATAAATTGATTTTTACGTTTTTCATGTGATATAATGATTCTACCTCTTTCCTATTTTGCAGGTTGCCTCAATGAACCAGTTAAAGAATATATTTGGTCTGGGTAAAAGAGAATCAGAGGCGATCACACTTGAGGTTACCTCAAAGGTTTACCGAAAACGTCTTTCACAGGCAGTTTCTGGCGGTGATTTGGAGGTTGCAGATAGCAAGGCAGCTTTCTTACAGAATCTATGTGAGGAATTGCACTTTGATCCACTAAAAGCAAAAGAGATTCATGAAGGTAAATAGCTTGTCTTCTCAATATGGTCTATTACTCGGTCCAAAATTTATCATTCTGTGGTTCTGCTTCTTTTCTGAAAGAGACTTGTTTCCTATTCCTTAAGAAATATACCGCCAAAAGCTTCAGCAATGCATAGCTGATGGAGAGCTTAGTGACGCGGATGTCAAAAGTCTGCTGCGGTTGAGAGTCATGCTTTGTATCCCAGAGCAAACTATTGAAGCGGCTCATGCTGATATCTGCGGTGGCCTGTTTGAGAAGGTCAGTTTCTTTCATTGTAAAAACTCTTTTTGGTATGACTTTTTGGCATTTACAATTGTGTTTTTAATTGATCAGGTCGTCAAGGATGCTATTGCTTCAGGCATTGATGGTTATGACATGGATGTTAGGAAGGCTGTTAGAAAGGCAGCCCATGGGCTGAAGTTATCTCGGGAGGCAGCAATGTCTATTGCCAGCAAGGCTGTACGTGCAACCTTAACCTCGTGCACTTTAAATTACCTAATCTGAAGATTTTTCTGTTGGTAATATTTTTTTGTTTCATGATTTGCCTGCAGGTCAGGAAGATTTTTGTGACTTACGTAAAGCGAGCTCGCTCATCAGATAATCGTACAGAATCTGCGAAAGAACTGAAGAAAATGATTGCTTTCAATTCTTTAGTCGTTACTGAACTGGTTGCTGATATTAAAGGGGAATCTTCTGATATTAAACCTGAAGAGCCTGTGAAGGTGGAAGAAAAGAAACAAGTTGATGAGGAAGATGAGTGGGATGAGGAGGAATGGGAATCTCTGGAATCACTGAAGAAAGTGAAACCAGGCAAAGAACTAGATGCAAAGATAGGGAAGCCTGGGCAGTCAGAGATAAACCTTAAAGATGACCTTCCTTTGAGAGAGAGGACTGACTTATATAAAACATACTTGCTCTATTGCCTTACGGGTGAAGTCACAAGAATTCCTTTTGGTGCTCAGATTACGACCAAAAAGGATGACTCTGAATTTGTGTTCTTGAGTCAGCTGGGGAATATTCTGGGATTGACAGTCAAGGAAATTGTGGATGTACATAGAGGACTCGCAGAACAGGCTTTCAGGCAACAAGCTGAAGTGATTTTAGCTGATGGGCAACTGACAAAAGCCAAGGTCGAGCAGCTCGATGAAGTTCAAAAGCAAGTAGGATTGCCAGCAGAGTATGCTCAAAAGGTGATCAAGAACATTACCACCACGAAAATGGCAGCCGCCCTTGAAACTGCTGTTGCTAGAGGGAGGCTGAACATGAAGCAGATAAGAGAACTGAAGGAAGCCAATGTAGAGATCGACAGCATGATCTCTGAGAAGCTAAGAGAGAACCTGTTCAAAAAAACCATTGATGAGATTTTCTCTTCTGGAACTGGTGAATTTGACGAGGTGGAGGTTTATGAAAAGATGCCAGCTGAGTTGAACATTAATGCTGACAAGGCAAAAGGGGTGGTTCATGAACTTGCACGGAGCAGATTATCGAACTCCCTGATTCAGGCTGTTGCACTGTTGAGGCAGAGAAATCGAGCTGGAGTTGTATGGTTTCTAAATTATTCTCATCTAATTTCGTTACAATGTTCACAGACCTCTAAAAGCACGTGGTGACATCGTGTGATTGCAGCTCCCCCGTGTTCTCATCTGTTGAATTGACACAGTGGCCATTTTGTAAATCATGCCACATGTGTTGATCCAAGCGGCTGAGGTTGCTGGGGCGCTATGGAACCATGTCAGCATTACAGCCCCAATAGCATAGTAGCCAAAACCAGACGGCCTCCTGTAAGCATATGCTGAAACTGTTGAATCATCTCCCAAACGGCCAAACGTGATCTCAGCTGTTGGATCGATTTTGAAATAATGCCACCTCACGAATTGGATTCCATGGGGGAGATGAGCCAACAGTGGCAGCTGGTGCTTACGGGCTGGCCTGTCAGCATTATAACCGAACCCCTTCTTAACGCAGTTGTATAATGTGATCTCCTGACTTGTGATTTTATGTCCTTTTGTTGCAGGTCTCAGCGCTGAATGATATGCTAGCATCCGATAAGGCTGTTCCTGCAGAGCCACTGAAGTGGGAGGTTCCAGAGGAGCTGTCTGATCTTTTTACAATCTATATGAGGAGTGACCCGGCTCCTGAAAAGCTTTCTCGGTTGCAGTATTTGCTGGGAATAAGTGACTCGACGGCTGTTGCCCTACGAGACGTGAAAGATCAAGTCCTGTCAGTTGGGGCAGAGGAAGAAGAGTTTGCTTTCTAAACTAGTAGAATATGTGAGATAAGAACTTCTAGTTAGAAGTAGAGCTGTTGAGCTTTTCTTTTACATTGTTTTTTGTTGTATTAATATGGATTTTGACACCAGACATCTTTTAGTTTGGCCGTGGAATTACTGAATGAATAATTGAGTTTGTGCTCACGGGGGCAAATCATTCCATTAACAATGACATAGTTTTGAACTCCTCCGGAATACTTCTTTTGTTTTGCAGGTTCAATCTTGGAGAAACTTGCGAGAATTTGCTTCAGTTTACTCAAACATTGGGTGAATTATATATGTTTGGCTACTCAATTTTTTTCACTTGAAATTTTTTCCTTTCTTACTATTTACTTATTTTAAATTAATATTTCACATTAGCCGTTTCACTATTGTTTTACCTTTGCATGTGTTTTAAATTATTTTTTCCCATTTTATATCTTCATGGTTTTCTGGATTATATGTTTTTTTTTAATAAATACACATTATCCTTTTTTTTATAATGACTAATTAGTCATACCTTTTTCGGATTATTTTTTATTAGTCAAACCTATTGAATACTAAGAATTAGCAAAATGTTAACTTTCAGTTAGCAATTTTCTTAGTAATATTGACTTGACAACATGATACTTACTTGGTCAACAATCCAAAATGTTAGTATTTTAACTAAGAAAAGAGTTACAAAACTATTAATGATAGCGTAAAAATGGCTAACACTTTGATGCATTATGAAAGATTTGGCTAATTAATAGGTTTGGATTATATAAAATAATATGAAAAAGGTTTATCTAATAAATAAACACTATTTTTTTTTTACAAAAGATGATATTGTATTATTAAAAAAAGATTGAACATATTACACCATGGTATATAAGGAAATCAAAAGAGCGGCACGTAGTCGGGTACAAAGACATGATTTTTCTAGCTAGGGGTGAACAAAACAACCCGTAACCCGACCCAACCCACCTGTATTTATCGTCAAAATTAAAGTGTAAGGTTGGGTGAGGGTTTTCTTTTGTACAACCCGCCTCTATTAGGTTGGGTCCGGATTTTGGGTAACGCAACCCGTAGAACCCGACCCAGACCGTGTTGAACTATTGTCATAAATGTTCGTATACAAGACATATTTGTGTCAATAATAGACATATTTGTGAGAAATTAAGCTATTTTATCATATTTTTCTCTTGTGGTTTCTCTAGTGTAATACATTCTTCAACTTAATATTTAGACGAAGATTTAATATAAGTTATGATTCACATAATCTTTTTTCTTGTGTGTACAATTTTAGAACAACATATTATGAATGTGTTAGCTTATAACTACTTTTGCTTACTTCGACAAATATTTACGAAAAAATCTAGACATATGTTGAAATAAATTGCATTTCATTAAAATCCAAACAATATTTATGCATATTGAAACTTTTTGCCTCGATTTATTTGTTTAAAATCTTAATTAGTGAAATAATATTTTTGTAGTGTATAATAGTTGCTTTTTTGTGTTGGGTTGGATATTTAATTAAAAGTATCTCCAACCCGACCCAACCCAACCCAATTATAAATAAACCGTAGGATTTTAGTTTTTTGAGTTGGGTTGGATTTAAAATTTTCAAAGTCGTAGTATATGGGTTGGGTGATTAAAATGACCAAACTCGAACCACCCGACTCATGTACACCCCTATCTCTAGCAACCAAGTAGACTACCTTATTGTTATTCCGACCTACAAATCGTACATTAAGGCCATTATGATTTTCCAGCAAACAACAAACTATCTCAAGAATAGCTTCAAAGTGATTACCTTATTTATCTGCCTGGTATATCTTATTAATGTCCACCTTCGCGTCCCCTTCAAACCTAACCCGCGAGAGACCATAATCCAGACACCATTGTATGGCCTCGTGGAGGACTACAAGTTCCACTGTTGGTGGATCATCAATATAATCGATATGGACACCCCGAGCCAAGACAACTGAACCACCCTGGTCTTTTATAATTATTCCCCTTGCCGAATGTGATCTATTCTTTATTGCACCATCCCACATGCAACTGGTCGAGACAAGGTTGAAGCATTCACATTCTCAATCTGGTGGGAGGGGGGAGTTGAAGTCACTTTATCAACTCCTAAACTGATCTATTCCTGGACTTGTTGATGATACTTTCACATCAAAGATATAACTTGAAATTGTTTCCCTTCAAAGACAACCCAATTCCTGGATTTCAAAATCCGCCAGAGGGTCGCGATAATAGTCATACTCTGATAGGTTTGATTAAGCAGTAACATCAACTTATTGAGAAATAGGGGGAAGTTTTGGTGAGGAAGCCATTGGCTTAGATATTCTAGGCCAGCGTGATCCCATATTGCGTTTGCCACCGGACAGTCAAGAAAGAGATGCTTCATAGTATACCGGGTATCGGGTTAACACTTGAACCTCCTTTTCGATCAGAGCTTCCGTGGTTTGGAGAATGAGATTGAAAATTTTCCAGAGAAAAATCTTAAGCTTAGGAGGGATAGGGGGCCCCATATCCGAATCCAGCTTGATCAATCCATCTAACTAACAGTCTGACACCATCTGCACGCCTTGCTCATAATCAATCAAAACCGCTAGGTAATAAGCAGATTTCACGGTGAACACTCCATCACTTGTATCATGTCGGATTAGTGAATCCTATATATCCTGACGAGGCAGTGTGATTGCTTTTATTGCTCGCGCTACCTCTGACGGGAACAAGTGATTGAGTATCTCATCAGTCTATCTTCCATCCCCTGGACTTCACTTCCCTCCAAAATCATCTGAGGGTAGTAGGGGGTGTGCAGATGCAACCTCGAAACCCCAGTTGAAATTCTTAATGGATGTTGTACGAGCATTTCCTATATGTCAGCGCAAACCTTGATGGAGCAAGTGGCGACCATAGAGTATACTCTACCATCCCCATGAGGGCTGAGAGCGCATCGCTGTCATGAGGAAGGACCCAGATGGGAAATATTTTTCCTTTATAGACTTGGTGCCAGAGGGATTGAAAATGGTTAAAATGCTCGAATTGTCAAAAATCCATCCCCCATCATGCTTTCTCCGACACATATTTTGTAAGACATCCATCGAATGCGGGACTGTCCCCCCTCAACCTCCCACCAAAATCTCGCTACATGTTATCCAATATGCGATGAAGGGAGAGCGAGAGCTTGAAACAGGACATCACATGGAGGGGAAGCAAGGATACAACTGATTTGATCAATGTCTCATTTGCTTCCCATGATAAACTCCTTTGCTTCCATCCCTGCAGTCGATGTAGTAATTTCTCCTCCAGATACCGGAACGTCGCCATTTTTGACTGAGCGATAAGAGTAGGAAGGCCCAAGTATTTGTCCTAAACCCCAACCGCCCCTACACCAAGGATATGGGCATGAGTGTTCTGGTCTGGTTCCAAAATATTCTTACTAAAGCATACCACAGATTTAGCAAGGTTGACCCTCTGTCCACTTAACTCCTTATGCTCATTTAGTACCTCAATTAAATTCTCACATTCCTGTAATAATCCTCTAAGAAATAAGTATGAGCCATCCGCAAAAAAAAGAAAAAAAAGAGATGTGAAACACCCAGAACCCTGGTGGCCACCTTGACTTCCGCCATTTTCTTCTTAGCAATGGCTTTCCGGATGAGTGCCGCAAACCCCTCCTTACAAATGGAAAACGGTAGGGGAATAATGGGTCACCTTGTCTTAGTCCCCTTGTTGGTTGGAAGAACCCAGACGGGGTACCATTCATATGGACTAAGAAAGACGATGATGCCAAGCATTCCTAAATCCATCTTATCCAACTCGGATCAAAACCCATTTTTTTCTAAACCCCGAGTAAGATAGGCTACTCAGCTCTACCATAGGCTTCCTCCATATCAACCTTTAGAGTCATATAAGTTAACCCTTCTTCCCCTTAGTTTTGATTTTTAGGTAATGCATAAGTTCGTGTCCAAGAAAGACATTATCGACAATCTGTCATTCCCGAATGAAAGTATTCTGTCCAGTCAAAACAATACGGTGGAGGAATTGCGCCAAGAGTTCAGACATGATTTTAGCAATGATCTTATACACGAATTGACATAAATCCACATTGTCCACTTTGGGAATTAAAACAAGCAAGTGTTGTTGAAACTTTGCATCATTCGCTCCGTTCTAAAGGAGCAAACAATATCAACCACCGACTCCCCGACAATATGCCAAAAGGATCAGAAAAAATTACCAGTGAACTCACTGAGTCAGGTGCATGTGTGAACCCAATTGAAAAGACCGTTTGTCGAATCTTGAGAGGCCGGACTTCTACCGTAAAAATCTCATTCATAGCAGTCGTTATTGTCCTATCAATCGGGAGACCGGCCACACGAGCAGCCATGCTCCCCACCTGATTCTTAGAGGTTATCAGAGTCAGGAAAAAATCAATAGCAATGGGAGCCTTCCCTTTTTCCTCCATTATCTAGTTCCCATCATCAGCATATAAACTTTCCACGACGTTCCTCTTCCTTCTTACCATCGTGACTATGTGAAAGTATGAGGTGTTATGATCACCCTTCTTGAGTCATCGTACCCTAAATTTTTGTTGCCAATAAATCTCTTCTGAATTCCATTGCCGACTGAGATCTATCTCCAGGTCCTGAACCTCATCCCAGTTGATGGGATGGAACTACTTCACCCACTCTATCTCTTCTTGGAGGGTCTCGATATTCCTCAAGGAATTTGTTGTGTCCTCCCTACTCCAGTCATACAAGAGGTGACGAAGGGGTTTCAAGCACACTCAGAGCCTGTACATTGGGGACCATGAATGGATTTATTCCACACTTAAGTAACCAAAGCCCGTACCTGCAGATTAACTGCCCACCCGTGAATGGGTTCTTTCCACACATCAGAGCCTTGATCCAGGAAATGCTTCACTAGCGTGTCTGGGAATTGGTCGACCCAAGCTTGAGAATAAAGGGCTCGATTTAGACGCTCACTGATAAAAGCCTTACCCATACGCTTATTAGTCCATGTGAACTGATATCCCTGATAACCTGGGTCGTGAAGGCCCGTATTCTGCATGAAATCTCTAAGAGCCAAAGCATGAGCGGAGTTCCAAAGGTTCCCACCATCCTTCTCATTCTCCGCCAGAATTGTATTGAAATCACTGATCACCACGTATGGTAAATGACTTTTTTCACAGAAATTGCGCAAAACTCTAGCTGGACAGATCGAGACGTCTAAATACAATTCATATAAACAAACACAACCAC